TTGGAAACTGTCTGCTGGCACGTGAATTCCGTGGCTGTTGTACGCATGGACGAAGGAATCGCTGCAGTAAACCGGCATTTTGAGATCCTCGATTCCGTCCAAGAGGGTATAAATCATCTCGAGCGTGAAGTGTACACACGCTACCGAGTTACGGAACTCCTTTACATTTGCCAACCTCCTCCCGGGGTAGCTAGAGATCTCTCGCAGGCTACGTCTTGCCTCGGACGCGGATATTTGCGAATTTGTTCTCACTTCAAAGGAAAATTTCAACTTTTATGTCTTTGATATATACATTAACGGAAATGTAAAACTAGATGGTAGAGACAGGTTAATAATTCGCACTTCTATTTATTAAAGTAACAATTTATTCGCGGGAAAACGCGTGCAACGACCGGCTCTTCTCGATCTTCTCGCGTAACGAACGCGTACGATTACACCCGATCTTTCCCGATGCTCCTACCGACTACCACGCGAGACAAAATAATTACCCGTATGATCCTGGCGCAATTTAAAATACATATACAGATATAAAAACATAACTCTACTTTCTAAAAAATACGGTGCAAATTACATAATTTCCTTCTCGAGAAAGAATTCTCCAACGATCAGAAATTTAGGTGCATCCATTCGAAAATCTAAAATACTTATTTCCAACTTGACTACGTTTCTACAATCTCTTCGTCCTCGTATCGTTTTTATTGTAAGTCTCTAATTTTCTCTACAAAATTCTATTCATTTTTAGTCCGTTATACCTTTTCCTAGAACCGTTTGGATTGATTTTATTTTGAAATGTACGAAGCTAAAATTAATATTTCACGATTTAGCAACACCCTTCCCTAAAGGGTCCATCGCTCTACTGCGTGACATATTGTTGGAATGTTCAAAATTTAGCGCCATTCAAAAGAATTCGTGAGCTCTTATGTTTTCGTGTTTGTACGGTATGAGGCGCGACAGTCGAATGAGTGTGACTTGGTTTTGGCTGTGCGTATTGGCATTTCGTAAGAATTAATAAATAAAATACCTTTGTTACTCGAGAAATCTATCACATATTTTATTACGGCGAAACGTAATGGAAGAAACGACACGGGAAAGTTTGGGACAAGTACCGGTACAGCGGTACAGAGAGCAAAGAGCTTTGTTAGTACGCGTTTATTATAACGTATTCTTTAGCGGCGTTTCGCGGATGGCTTCTCTCTCGTTTGCATGAAAATAACGAACCCGATTAGCATACAGACACGATGAAATCCTAAAACCACTTCGGGGCCGGGTAGTCGCGGATCACGTACGTCTCTCTGTACCACGTAGGCAGAATCTGAAATCATGGATTTTCCAACCAGAATCCTCGGTTCTGGTAGATCCCACCGAACGTGGCAGATTATCTGTGACGGATAGCACCGCGTTTTAGGTCTATTCCGCCCGGAAATGAGCGGATGGGGTACCCCGGAAACGGAGCATCCAACTACTTACTCGTACGTCTGCGAAATCGTGTCGTGATTTTACGATCGCGTTTCACGTACGATCCTATGGGTTTTTTTTTTATGTATTTTTATATATATTTTTTTATCAATCAACCCGTTACCAACCCTAATAATTCTACAAACATTACACGATCGTACACATCGATCCCCACAAAGCACATCAAAATTTCCTCTATCATGTTACGCTCGCTCGCAGAACTTTCAGTGTTATCGATTTATAGGAAAAGAGAATTAATCGTATCATCGGAAAATGTAATCAGATTGTCTCCAACTCGGATCGTGTCTTCTATATATATTTTAAAATTGTTCTGGTAAACGATTTTTACTGTAAATTTGCATATGAAACTTCGGGGAAACATTTCTGGCCACACGGTATATTTTTAGTAAAGAATTTTTTTTCTCGAAAATGCGTAAGAATTCGGGGGTATGTGTATTCACCAAAAATTATTGCAATTGACTCCTGCAATTGAAAATAATTTTTTCAGAGTGATTTGAAATTTTTCAATTTCGCCGAAAAATGTCACAACTTCTCGAATTTTTTTCTTGAAAATGGGTAGGATTTCGGGGGTATGTCTATTGAGCAAAAATAATAGTAATTAACCCCTGCAACCGAAAATAATTTTTTTAGTACGATTTTAAATTATTTAATTTTTTGAAAAATATCATGCTTTGTCTAATTTTTTTCTAGAAAGTGGGTAGGATTTCGGGGGTATGTCTATTCACCAAAAATTATTGCAATTGACCCCTGCAATCGAAAAAAATTTTTCCAGAGTGATTTGAAACTTTTCAATTTTGCCGAAAGATTAGGGCATCTCCTGAATTTTTTTCTCGAAAATGCGCAGGATTTCGAGGGTATATGTATTCACCAAAAATGATTATAATTGACTCCTGCAACCAAATATAATTTTTTCAGAACGATTTGAAATTTTATTTTTCCGCCGAAAAATTTAGGCTCCTCCTGAATTTTTTTTCTCGAAATTACGTGGGATTTCGGACATATGTGTATACACGAAAAATGATTGTAATCGACCCCTGGAACTGGAAATAATTTTTTCAGAACCTTTGGAAATTTTTTAATTTTGTCGAAAAATTTTCCGGACGGTATGGTTAAAATAAGTTAAATTGGGCCACGAAAGTCCATGAGTTGTAAACTCTACTCGTATACCTCGTCTATGGTAGTATTTTAAATCCGATAAACACGTATTTTAATATCCTCGTTTCTTCTAATCGAATTCGATGGAGTCCAATAGTATGTAATTGTTTATTGAATCGCAGTATGAAGAATATCCGTGCTGTAGATAATTACGCGATATGTTACTCGAGGAAATACGTTTAAAAAACACTATACTTAGCCGTGTTCAATCTTCGCAACGAAACTAGAAGCTGTTCGGGCAAATATTTAGAGAGGGCTGTAGTAGTAGCTAATAAAGCACTGTGCAAACAGCGCGACGTGATCGACATTTAATGGTCATCAATCGGCCAGAAACGTGTACATAGCGAGAAAGAGAGAGTTTCCAAAGGAATTCGATTTTCTACGGTGATCGTGGCCGGAGAACTGATAACGACAACTTTTATATACACCTAATTTCGATGAAAACCGCAGAGTTCGTCGATCGATCCTTTCCGCTCGAGCTTAGCTTCCATTCGGTCAACGATCAAGGATCCACCAATTTGAGTGTATTAGAGGTTATGAATGAACACATGTATAAAGTTTATTTATACCAAATCATAACTATTAGAGGTTACAAATGAACAAATGTATAAAGTTTATTTATACCACATTATAACAAAACTGATTAATAACAATATCATAGGTTATGGAATATTACAAGTCGCCACATGGCCAGGAAACAACATAAGAGCGCTCACGAACGGGGAAACCCGATTCCCCCTCGCTACCCAACGGTTGCAGGCCCGGCAACCATGCCGACATTGGCCGCATTTCCAACAGAGTGGTTACTAAATTAAAAACACTAGAACGTAACAACCCGTTCGCCCTAGGAGGCGATAGAATAATGTAAATTACATATTGTTGGAGGCGTTTCAAGTTTAGCTTCCATTCAGTCAACGATTAAGGATCCACCAATTTGAGTGGTTACCAAATTAAAAACACTAGAACGTAACAACTCATTCGTCCTAGGAGGTGATAGAATAATGTAAATTACATATTGTTGGAGGCGTTTCGAGTTTAGCTTCCATTCGGTCAACGATTAAGGATCCACCAATTTGAGTGGTTACCAAATTAAAAACACTAGAATGTAACAACTCATTCGTCCTAGTAGACGACAGAATAATGTAAATTAGATATTGTTGGAGGCGTTTCGAGTTTAGCTTCCATTCAGTCAACGATTAAGGATCCACCAATTTGAGTGGTTGCTAAATTAAAAACACTAGAACGTAACAACCCATTGGTCCTAGGAGGTGATAGAATAATGTAAATTACATATTGTTGGAGGCGTTTCAAGTTTACAGGATCGATTGTTGGCTACCTGTAAAGCCTCGCGGAATTTCGGAGAACAAAGAGCTCCGCAGGCGACCTGGTCTTGTCGTTAACAGAATACGACATCTAAATTCGTTGGTCTGGCCCAGTGGAAGGTTCGACAATTCGGCTATTTCGAATTGTCCGACAAGACAAATAGAAATATAGAGAACTCGGAATCAAGCGATGTACGTTTCCCCTTTGTTAACCCATTCCCTTTCTCTTGACCTAGTCTTCTGGATCGACTCTATTGTGCACGCCAGAATTAACCCTTGAGCTCAAGGTGCCTCTGTACACGTGTGCATACATGCATCTTCGGGCCTCCGGTCTTCCTAAGAATTATCCCCCAAAGTGGGGGATCGGGGTCTTTAAAAAGCACCTTTAAATCTGAGCTTCTCGAATTAATTTCACCCCTTTAATCGTTTTCAATAATCAGAAGTATTCCTGTGCCTGGTATACAGGGTGGTCCACGCAATTGTTTCAAGTCATAATTCCGTTATTATTGCATTTACGAAAAAATGCCAAAGGAGAAAGGTAAATGGTTCGAAGTGCACTACGTCTGTAGGTCTTTAAATTTTTTTTAGATGCAGCAGTGCATGTGCAATTAACAATTGCATCGTTTCTTTAAATAGAAATGCATAGGTTTTTTTACACAGATCGATTCTTTTGTTCGTTCTACGTAAAAAATGATTAGGGTACCATGGCCAAAAAATTATTAGATCTCGAGATATTTTCAAAAAAATGTCTTTATTGAAGAAGATGCTGTATAATAAATAAACCTTAATACTTGTATAGTTTTCTAAAGAATTTTTATTATATCCAGAGTGTCTTCTCTAGGTTCTCAAGTTAATATTAAAAACTACAAGACCAATTGAGACCGAGATAAAATTAAAAATTCAATTTTTGAACGTGACAAAGAAATAGTTTTTCGTGCAACAAACGGTTTTGGAGTAAACCAGGCGACAAATTTAGATAGACTACCCTGTACACGCGTGAAAATTAAACTTTGCATGTAGATAGGGAACTGAATGCTTTCCACGTACCTCGAACTGTACAAAACTCTGCCGTCTTGATAGAGTCTGACGAACTTGTTCGGGCTGGTTATGGTATGCAAGTAGCTATGCTTGCCGTTGTAGAAGTACGTATCCGGTTTCCAGATTCTCGCTAGCATCGATATACTGAGAGCAAGCGTCTCCTTGCCGCCTTGGAAGGCCAAACGTCGGTCCACCCACGACTGCCGAAAATAGCAATCCATCGAGTACGTCTGAAGCAGATATTCAACATTCCAGAATAGTTAAAATCTAATCAAAATATCGAATATCAAGCTTTCAAAAAAAAAAAAATCAGAAACTTTCTACAAAAGAAAAAAAACATATGTAACTTGAACGAGAATTGAATTTATATTCGTAGCACATAGGGATGGTTCATAAATTTAATCGTTTATATCTTTAAAATTATCATATTATATTCATCATTAGAAACATATATATTATCTTGTAAACATCCGTTAAAATCAAAGTCAAACAATCGGAGTTAAACTTTAATGGTAGATTCTAGAGGGCAAAATAAGACGAAAATCAAGAATACCAATTTGTCGATTGAGGCTTCGTTAAAAAGTTATTAACGTTTAAAGTCACGCCTGTGGAACAGCTGCGCGCGCATGATAGCGGTTCTCACTCGACACGAGACACTCTACTTTAAACTCGAATAACTTTTCAACGAAGCCTCGATCAACAAATTGGTATTCTTGATTTTCGTCTTATTTTGTCCTCAAGAATCTACCATTAAAATTTTTCTTACACCCATTAAAATCAAAGTCAAACAATCGGAGTCAAACTTTAATGGTAGATTCTAGAGACCAAAATAAGACGAAAATCAAGAATAGCAATTTGTTGATCGAGGCTTCGTTAAAAAGTTATTAACGTTTAAAGTTAAAGTGTGCAGATTGCCGTTCTACGAGCGTACCTTTAAACGTGAATAACTTTTAAACGAAGCCTCGATCAACAAATTGGTATTCTTGATTTTCGTCTTATTTTGTCCTCTAGAATCTACCATTAAAATTTTTCCCAGGACACTTTCTTCTTTCGACTATAGAATTATGCGAAGCGTAAGTCTAGCTATCCCAACTCGTAACTTTTCTCGATTCACGTCAGCCATTGTGGTGGTAATTAGCGCGCCAAGACGGGAATAGAATTGTATAGGATGGTTATTGTCACGCGACGAACAAACGCACGTAAATCGAAGTTGGAACGGGTTTCGATAAGGGACGAGTGAATTCTTGGTTGGTCGAAAGTATCTTTCCCGTCTTGCGAGTACGACAAAAGGAAATAGCGAGAGATACGAACCATATCGACTTCTGAAATCGGACCCATGCTGCGTACCATGATGTCGACCTCAACGGTAGCCGGTGGTCCACCGAAGTCCGGTCTAACGCTGTTGTCGTAACCGCGAAGCAGATTGTCCAGCAGCTCGCTGATGTTGCTGTGATTGTTGATCTGCGTCCTCTGCCTCGCGGAGGGTTTCGTACCCGTTGCAGCCCTGAAACATTTTCAGGACGGTGGAACGAACCGTCCGAAAGATTACATTCAATTTTCTTTTCCTTTACCAGCGTACGTTCTCCACGTTTGCATCCACGGAAACAGCGAAGAGGAATCCCCTACGAGGCGTGGAAAATATTTAATAAACGTAGGACGGGAGAATTATTTCTTTCGTCCGTAGAAATTGGAGTCTGTTCCGGTAAAGTGCATTTTATGAAAGAAGAGACGTAAAGTGGCAATATTTCTGTTGTTTTTAACTCTCGAGAGCAGACACGGTTGAATACTTGCGTGGAGACACGACTGGGTCTGCAGAGACCCATCTTCGATCGCTTATATCTCGTACTGTACTTCATGGATAATGCAAGTGTCCTTTTTTTTCGAAAAGCGAAAGATAAAGTGAAACATTTTTACAGAAATTTCATTTTCTTCGAAATATCGTATCTTTTTATCGATTGGAGATAAAAGGGTTTTACCACAGGAAAGTGAAAAGGTCATGGGAGTTGTATTTCATGAAAAGAGATATGCTGAAACGACTCGTTACAAAAACTATAATTACTTTGTGGAATTAAAGATAAAACATTTTTTTCATTTTTTACGTCACACGGACACTTTCACATCACAAATAATTAATTTAAATTTACTTGAACTTAATTTTACTCTCTGACCCACTTTTAAGGGTGTCTCTCGATAGGTCAAAGGAAAATTATTAAACCAATCGTTTAATTACTCTAAAAATCGAACAATTGTGCTAAAATTAATTCCTGAATGTTGGAATATAAAATTGTCCAGTTGGTAATCGACGTTTCACGGTGACGTTAATCGATCTCGCGTGGCTACGAACCACGATGTAACTGGTTGATAGATCGTTGTTTGGATACTCGATCCGCGGTATGCTGTAAGCCTTCGATCCATTTGCACGGTTCTCCACCGTTCCATGCTTGAATAAACGCATCAATGCGCGAGACAAGGCTTGCTTCCATTTACAGACACGCAGACACGTGTCTACGTACGTGTACAAGTGCATTCGCGAGTGGGGAATCGTAACAGCGTTCCACGATCGTGAACTTAAGATAGAAACGGTGGTTGAAATCGCGAGAAAGCTGATAAAAATGCGATCTTTTTATCCACGAAGCAAACATCGAGTACAAAAATTATGAAAAAAATCTGGTGCATTGTGGTTATCGAGATACGTGTTTGAGAATTTTTTCCGATTTTTCGATTCCAAATCCTAGGCGTGAAAAATTGAACACGCAAAAAAACACAGAAAAATACGGATTTCGTATTGAAGCTTTCGAGACACTAGATTTATATAATTACTGTAAATGCGTATTGTTAGTGGTTATCTCCCTGAATTTTTTCCGATTTTTCGATTTCAAATCCTAGGTGTGAAAAATTGAAAACGCAAAAAAACACAGAAAAATACGAATTTCGTATTGAACCTTTCGAGACACTAGATTTCTATAATTACTGTAAATGCGTATTGTCATTGGTTATCTCACTGAATTTTTTCAGATTTTTTGGTAGGGTGCGCCGTAGTAGCAAAAATGAAAAACCGATTTTTTCGACGTTTTTCGCGTGAAAAAGCATCTTATACTTTGAATTTTTGTATTCTCTTTAATAGATAACTATATTGTATGGTTTTAAACATTTCTATGTTGAGCAGAACAACAGTGTATACAAGAAGAAAAGCAAAAATAAGTCATAAAACACTTAAAAGCATTGGGAGCAGCTGGTAACAAGATTGAAATATAATTCGGAGTGCAAAGGGTTAAAAAAAGCTAATTTTCACTGTTCTACAGGAATCTGTGACAAGGTTGAGTCTTCATTTTGATATTACTCGAAGAAAATTGTCAAGAAATAAAGTGAAATTACTATTTATTAGGTTTAGGGGTAATACGGATCAAATATTCTTCCATATTTTGGTACAAAAAGTGTATTTCGTTCAAAGAAACAAAGCTGATCCTCAAATCTTCGCCCATAAAAAAGGCAAACGTGCTGTACGTTACCTTTTTATGCAAAATTTTGCATAGCAACGCATACTTTGGACGTTAAAGGCGCGTAAATTGCGTGTATCAAACCCTTTACGAGTATTCAAAGTTGATGAAATTTAATCTCGATCGTAATTTCACGAATTACGGTAATCTATCCGTCAGGTTCGAATAGAAAGTGGACAACACGGAGGTTCGTGGCCCCGAAACCGAAACGGGGATTACGTTTTGCCGTTAAAACAGCAGACCTTTTCTCTCTGGCTTTTCCAGCGATACGGTCGATGCCGTTTTGTTTACGTTTCGCGGCACAAGTACGACGTGCACACGTACTGGAGTGCGCCCACTGGCCGGTCGGTAAATTGAAACGAGGGAATTTCGGGTATTACGGGCAAACGAAAATTGCGGTTCGTTTTTAAACCGAAATAAAGCGACATTTTAATGCCCGCCCGTTCTTTCAGGTCACGATGAAAAACAGCCTGCTCGATTGGACACGCTGTCTATATTCCAATGGCTTTTGTTTGCTGACAACGTGGCTTTCGATCACCCTCAAGACTCCTCCTCGTGTTTCTTTCCACCGATTGGCTAATTCGATCTGTTCCTCCAGAACCACCACTTCCCAACTCGAGATCCAAGTAATCTACAAGTACAGGGTGTCCGCATTTTTTCGATACACGCCTCAGCAGCCTGCTTTTTACGAGTGAAAAATAAGACTAAAGTGTTAAGTAACGAAAGATCCACAAATGCTTTGTTGACAAGTTATGATAGAAATATGAACTTTGGAAGATACGGTCAGTTGATACAGGACAAGACAAAAGGGTTGTGAACGAAATATTAAAAATAAATAATATATTGAATATTGTCAAATATTGTACGTGGTGCAAAACCGAGTCGATCTATTGTTCGTGTTATTCATAAACAACAAGATGTTAATTAACTTCTAACTGTGATAAAAATAATTAAAATGTTTATTTTTTGTTATTCTTTTATATTCCTAGTAATAAATAATGTATTTATGCGAAACTTGTGGTCATTGGTTCACTTATGCTCCTTAAGTACATTTCAGTGCACGGAAAAATGCAGAACACCCTGTATATTAACACTAGAATTACCAAACTGGTCGAAATCAACCATTAGTAATAAAAATGGTAAAAAATATACTCGTCCGAATGTTTGCACCGTGATTTTCTACAAGAGAACGAATAAACGTTTATTACGAGTAGATTATACTTTTCTTAACCAATCCATCGTTTTAATTTCTCTGGTATTTTGGTACAAATAACCATAATTGTCGGTAGTTCTAGTGTCAAGGCGTATGAACTCGTTAACACGTTGCGTGAGAGGTTCTACTCGACCAAGAAAACGTGCAAATGAAAACGTTTGACGAGCGACTTACAGGAAAGATGCGTAGGAGGTGATTAGATTCGCGAGGGCCAGTAGGACTCGCTGCTTCATGATGTCCTGGGACTGATCCTCCCTTGCAACGCGTCCTGATTCGTTCATCAATTCGCTTCAAACGCCAAGCGTTCTGTCTGCCTCTGAAATAATTACGAAAACAAACAAAACGACATTAGTTTTATCAAAGTTCCCCCCAACAGTTACCATTTACATTTATGTAAATTATTTGTTAGAGAATCGATGATGGTCGTTATCGATACGAACATATTGTTTTGTTTTTCTGTTATTGTTCAGTCCAAATATGTCTCCCTGAGTGTATGCATCGCTTTTGTATGCACACGTGTTTAATTTACTTCTAAATATACGTTTATATTGAACAGTTATATCGAATGTGTCAGCTCATTACAAAACCCCAACATTATTAAATACAATTTCGATTATATCGATCGTATTTTAGAAAAATTGGTTGGCTTTATCGTTACTTTCACAATGGCGTTGTTGACACGCACAAAAGTGTTCATAGAAATCGCGAGCGTGGCAATATTTACGATTTAATCAAATCTTATTTAGCGAATGTAACATCGACGAATGCATGAACGTTCAAAGAGATTTTATTTAACGTTTACGGATAATTTTCGATCGCGTCGATGAACGTTCAGGCGAGTAACGCCGGGCTTTGCGTGTGATTCGAACAATTTATTATCATCGGGGGCGCAATGTCAATGATAAAACTTCGTTTGCGAGTGTCGTCGATGGCGTTTCATGTTGACGAGCGAAAAATAGAGGTCGAAATTATTCCGGTTTCATTCCGTGGCGAATGATGAGCGCCAGCAGAGGGGCAGTGGAGAAAAAAAAGAAGGGGGATTGGAAATTCGGTTGGAAAGTTCGTTAACGATCCGATGAATGAATATGCTGATGACAGAAGTACCTCTCGGGGGAAGGATAATAAAATAAACGTCTGATGCGAAGGGAATAAATAGAGCGTGACGTTGGCGCGATCGCAAAATCGAGTTGCGCGCTCCCAAACCTAAAGATATATTCTCTTCTTGCGAGTAATCCAGTTTTTTTTGCGATTTTTGACTCGAAATTACACCTCGACGCGCTACGAATTAGCGAAATTATTTTTACCACTGATTATTTCGAAGCTGTTGCAACGATCGAATTAAAAAAATTTTGATCTTCAAATTAAATCTGGAATTTTACTTGCAAAACTGTTCGAACGATCGATTTACTTGTTCAAAACTTGCATAATTGTTCTGTAATAGTTCCACTGGTAATTTCGAAGCTGTTGCAACTAAAATAATTATATTTTATGTAAATATTTATTAGTATATAAATATTAAATTTATTATTATTAAATTATGAATTGTAGATTAATATATAATCTATTGATTGTATAAAATCATAGATATTTATATATTATCAAACTCTAGATATATATTTATAAATAACTATAGATATTAAATTAATAAATTTATATAGATAATATAATGTACTTATTATCTATGAAATAATTATTAATCAACGATCGAATCAACAAATTTTGGTCTTCAAATGGAATTTGGAATTTTACTTTTTACAAAACTGTTTAAACTGTCGATTCACCTGTTCAAAACTTGCATGATCGTTCTATAATAGTTCCACTGATAATTTCGAAGCTGTTGCAACGATAGAATCAAAAAATTTTGTTCTTCCAATTAAATCTAGAATTTTATTTTTCGCAAAACTGTTCGAACGATCGATTTCACTTGTTCAAAACTTGCATAATCGTTCTGTAATAGTTCCACTGATAATTTCGAAGCTGTTGCAACGATCGAATAAAAAAATTTTAATCTTCAAATTGAATCTGGAATTTTACTTTTCGCAAAACTGTTTAAACTGTCGATTTGTTCAAAACTTGCATAATCGTTCTGTAATAGTTTCCCAGATATTCGTCAAAATTGCTATTCCCACCTTGGAAGTAATATTCACCCCTTTTTTACGAGCACGAGTGTCGATAAAAAAGATATGTGTCAAATATTTCCACGGAGGACTACGTGATGTTTAAATTTATATTTGAAACTTGGTTTCACCGTACAAGCAGCATATAAAACGCATCGAAATGGTTTCAAATCCATCGTGAGACGTGCATCGAGGCAAGTCTCATCAAGCAGAGGCTTCTTTAGCTTTCTTTTCGTGTTTCCACCCCCGTTTCACCGGCTTGTTTCGTTCTGTATGCTGATAGGACCGTCGCTCGAGGGACGCTGCACATCAGAGAACGGAGCAAGAACCCTAAAACAAATAACGACGTTATTATACCTCGATACTCCCGTATCGAGAACGTCGTTATTTGTTTTCTGGTTCTTGGTTCGCTTTTCTGGTGTTCCGTGTCCCCCCAGGTGTCGAGCTCACCAAATCGCGGAAGTGCAACGACAGAGAAACGGTGGAAAAATGGTTTAGCGAACACTTTCCATGCAAAACTTATCGTACGAAATCAATTTTCTAAATTAACTCTGTTTTCTTATTTTTCATCACGTTCTACGGAATAATGTAGTTTATACCGTCAGAATTATTCATTCAACTCGTTCAAATTTTTGTTAGGCGAATTGTATAGATTTATTGCAACGTGTCGTAAGAAGAATTTTACCTTGCAAATTCACGGTCCATTCGAAGCATTTTCTGATTGATTTTTGGCAGGTGTACCACACTTCTGTCACACCACAGTCAACGAATGTTCGAGTAACTCACAACTACACGGATGCATCTATGCATTTATGGAAAATTTTAATCCCCAAAAAGCTACAGGATGCACTTGATACGTAAAAATGTAAAAAATGTTTAAAGTAAGATACCAAATATTATACTTAGGGGTTAAGACCACCCTCTGCGATTCGTCACCCTCTCATTTCATTAATTTTATTAATAAAAATCTATTCAAAAGTCTATTCATGGGCATAGAAAAACGTAGTGTTAATACTGGATTAAAATATGCAACACCCAGATGCAGACAATTATTATTCGGATAAAAATTGCAGAAATGTTTGAATAAATCTAGTTGTTCGTTCGAAAGAAAATAGTAACACTGTTATAACTAGACTGCGGATGTTTATGCATTTATGGGAAATTTTAATCCTCAAAAAACTACAGAATGCATTTAATATGGAAAAATATTAGAAATATTTTTATTAGGAGATATTTCAATTTAAATTATTTAAATTATTTAAAATCTACCGCACTAAGACTAAGACTAAGTTAGCTCTGTTTACCAACGTTAGACTAGTACAACAGTAATGGTGTTCTAGAATTATTTAAATTGAAATATCCCCTGAACTACTAATTTTTCGACGTTACATAGTCAGTACTTTTTTATAACGATCGTCCAGCTGAATCGATCGATGTATTAAAAAATACCTCGTTCCATTTAAAGAAACAAAGTTGACCTTTGTATGACCTTTACGGGTCCACTGACGAAAAAACTAATAACGTCAGAATATGCTCCACTCGATACCATTCAAGCCTCCGCTGAAACATTTTTTGTTACGAGTAACAATAGCGAGAAAATCAAGATGTCAAAATCGGGCGAGACACCCTGTATAGAGGTCCCCCTCCCTTAAGAACGCTTAGGAAACGATCGTGTCGTATCACGGACACGGTCTGGCGGATCGATCGGTTCGGTAACAAGGATGCTTCGATTACGCGGTAGATCGACGATAATTAATACTATTCTGCGACCGCGGCCGGGACGGGCGTGCGGGCGCAGCCAATCGACCGCCGCAGAAAGGAATCGAATTAGAGAATTAATTCGTCCGTGATGGGTGTCCCTTTGTATGGGGAAACCGACGTTTCCCCTGGAAACTCGTCGTTCGTTCGACGCGGCGCGAAACACCGTCGGTTCGTCCCCGTGGATGACGGGAAACGAGCAACCCGCAATTCCGGCAAACAACCCCGACTCCTGTAAATACCGAAAACGCTCGAACACGCGGCCCCCCAAAACCGCCGCGCGAGCAGAACACGTCGTTTCGACTCGGCGTTTGACTTCCAATTTCATTCGCCGCGATCCACGACGATAATCAGCACCGCGGCTTCTTCGTTAAACGTTACAAACCGGGTTTTCCAAAATTCCCGCGCCCCTCAAACGAACGCGATCGTTTGCACAGCGTGCGCTCGATCGCGAAAGTATTCCAGCTAACGCGTTTGAAACTGTTTGAGACCGTTTGAAACCGTTTCACACCGAAGACTGCTCCTTCCAGCCAGTGATTTTCACCGAGAATTTCGTCCACGATTAAATTTTCCTTGCTATTTTTCTATCCAACGTGTTATTGTGGGTTTGATTCGCGCGCCATGTTTTGTGTTGGACACTCTGTGCGTTTTTTGTGTGTTTAAGATGAGGCGACACTTCGGTTTTTCCCCCTCGTATTCGTCAACGCGATCTGGGATTCCACCTATGTATTAACTTCTAATGTATCACTATGTATTAACTTCTAATGTATCACTCTGGTATTACCTTCTAATGTATCACTCTGGTATTAACTTTAACACAACGTTTTAGAAATATTCAATTCTTCTCTCAGTTCTCAATCACGATACTGTAAACCTGTCGATACGTCATGAAGTAGAGTTTCTCGAGCTGAATGAGAACCACTGTCACGCGCACGCAGCTGTGCGCAGGTTGCCTATCTACAGGCGGAACTTTTCGTCAAAAAATTACACACATTCTCGAATTTTTATCTAGAAAGTGTGTAGGATTTCGGTGGTATGTGTAATGACCAAAAATGATTGTAATTGACCCCCGCAAACGAAAATAATTTTTTTAGAACGATTTGAAACTTTTCAATTTTGTCGAAAAATTTGTCCATCTATTTGATTTTTTTTCTGGAAAGTGGGTAGGATTTTGGGGGTATGTCTATTGACCAAAAATTATTGCAATTGACACCTGCAATCGAAAATAATTTTTTCAGAACGATTAGAAACTTTTCAATTTTGTCGAAAGATTCCCCTTGTTGGTTTTTCTTAAAAATTCGTTTTTCATTTTTAATAATATTGTTTAACGCTCTACAGAAAAGTTGCCCAATACTTTTTTGTAGGTACTCATGAGCACTATATCAAAAAAAAATTTCATTGAAGTGTATTCACTATTATCGGAGTTATGGCCGTTTGGAAATTGGGCCATTTTTATGGGGTTTTTCTCACTTTACGGGGTCAAGGAACAACTTTTTGTATATTTTTGGAATTTCCACTTATTCTCCGTCAAAATACGCGTTGTTTGCCTTTTTGAACATTAAAATCGTCCAATCCGTTGAGGAGTTATGATTTTTCAAAGATTCGAATGTAATTTCGGTGAACCATTGGATTATATTTTCGGTAAGGAATTTTTTTCTCGAAAATGCGTAAGAATTCGGGGGTATGTCTAATCACCAAAAATGATTTTAATTAAGCCCAGCAACTAAAAATAATTTTTTTTAGTACTTTTAGCACTCGTGTTTTTTAGTAAATTTATCGCTGCGAATAATACGTTTTACGAAAAGTTTTCTAGATTCGATCTGAGTTTGCCACACTGTTGGTGATGATCGATTATCGGATTTCCATACCTGAATCTCGAATACCATTCAAACGTTACACGCCTGCTAACGACGTTAAATCCATAAGTGTCGTTAATATTCATCGCGGCTTTTGAAGAGGTCGTTATAAAGAAGAAACTTTATTCTTCAAATTCGTGACAGTTTTAGACGGGCAGAAAATTTCTTTTAACTTTTGGGAGCTGAACTTGAAACAGTTTTTGGAGCGAAATCGTGTCCAGTCCTCTCGTTTCGTAGTTGTAAAAGAATCTTCGAGGAAATTCGAATCCAAATAAAAAATTGAAATAATCCCAGAACGATTATCAGACGATTGTTATTAAAAAATTTTTAGAGTGTCTTCCCTAGGATCTTGAGTTAACATTATTTAAATATAAGAAAAACCCAGACTGAGATAAAATTAAAAATTTTGTAAACGCGACGATTGTATCACGATTTACATCTTTCAGATTTTATACGTCGACGTGTTTATAGTCGTTTTATGACGGATTCGCGATTCTGTGCCATCAAGCTCGTCGATATGTAACGACGCGTTAATCGTTTTGTTACCTGACGTGGCAATAAAAGCAGATTTCCATGAATCAGTCGAGATCGTGGAAATACGTTTGTACATGAAATTTGAGAGACAATTCGCCTAAATTAAATACCATTTATATATTTCGATTGCGAAGTAAATGTTATCAGAACAAAATATACAGCATCGATTTAAACGTGCAAGCGTATTGAAGTTGAAAGCTTCACCTTGTAAATCGAAATCAAAGAAAAAAAAATGACAACAAAAATGCCAAGCAACGCGTTTTAATAGACCGTCGACTCGTTGGTGATTTCAGTAGAATTCGGAATGTTTTAATTAAATTTGTGGTTCAGAGGAAATTTCTATTCACGTTTCTTTCCACCGGATCGAATTATTAATCAGTGATGAGAAAATTTTTACATCAACGTTGACGTCGTCCCAAATACACTGAGGTAACTCCCGATCTTGTCAAATCTTCTGTTCGTTTTCAGACCATTACAAATAATTATTTCTACTTACTATTTTTATTCGCTCGATCGCATCATTGAGATTTTTTAAGTTGATCTCACTAGTTTCTTAATACTTAAAATACTCAAGTTTTCACGTTTTTTAATTTTTTAAACGATCTCCAGAATGTATACAGATCGTGCCTTTAAATTTCGTTTGAAGCATTAACGAGTATCGTTTCGTTTTACAGTACAAGTGTATATAAAGTTTAATGTCGCGGGTGGTTTTACCTTTCACGAGAAAATGGGATACCCATCGAATCCACGATTAATGAATCGTGTTCTCGACGCAGTGGTACGTTTATGCGGGACGAAAGGATCGACTGCTCGAGATGTCCTCGATTTCCTGCGAGGAACTTCGAAAACCACACCGAGAAACCTGACAATGCAGGTGACAGAAACTTCTTCGCACTTTATTATAAGAATTATAAAAAAAAAGATATGAATTCAACGATAAATAGTAAGGGAATTGGGCATGCTTTGGCATTAGTCTGTTTTTAAAGTATATAAACAAAACGACACGTTACTGGTAAAGTCTGTTCAGCTCGATGAGTATTTTCAAACAGGTACTTTAATCGATGTTTCTACTATGAAATTTTAATTTAGAGACAAGAAGACCTTATAGAAAACATAGTTTAGCATAAGATTTCACCAAGCAAATCGTTACTCTTCTATTCTTTATCTAGCCACTTTATCACGCTATAAATACTTGTAATTTGTTTGAGTTTCTATTCTCAAGCGTTTCTATTACGTCAGATGGTGTGTACAACATGACCAGTAAATCGCATCGATGATTACACCAGATAGTACAGCATGACTGTCCATTTTTATTAATGATAATGATAAAGTTTGTTTTTTACATCCTTTTAAATTCTTTTCCTCTTAGCGTTACTCACAATCAGTATGACTTTTCGTTATTCCGTAACGTCTGTCAGCGTTCTTAAAAATGTAATGCAATGATTTGTTCTTTTTCTATAATTATCATTATCATCGTTTGTTAGCCGACAAGTACAACGTGTAACATATTTTTTTATTTTTTATTTAATTCTAGGAGAAAACAAAGGTTATTAAATAACTTCTATATTTCTCTAATCTGGAATTATCTAACACAATCTTCTAAACCTTGAACGAATCTATCGAAAAAAAGCTAGGATGGATGGAACTGGGTGGTAAACTCGCTGATTCGATCGAACATCAGAATTTTCACGTTTTGGTCAATCCATCTTCAATACTTATATTAATTATATTAATATTTATTGGAGTTAATTTAACTTTTTTTCCTCAGAATTTTTTAGGATTAATAGTCTTCATCAGGTTCTTTAATTTTATTAATTTTTATTATTTTAGAAAGATTCATTTCTAAGCGATTAATCATTTTTAAATTTTATCAATGTTCGTTAGAACGATTACAAAATTATCCCCCTTTAGATCACTCTTTTAACGAATTACCATTTATTATTAACATTTTTAAATAATATATTTAATATATTTTAATATTTTTTTTTTTAATTTATTAATATGGCAGAAATAGTGCAATGAATTTAAGATTCTAGTATAAAAATTATATTTTTTATTAATAATTTCACATTGATATATATATACTTTTCAAGACCCATGTTCACCTTATGCTAATAATTTAAATTTATTTTATAATATTACAATACTTGTAACAATTGTAATTATTTCATTTGCATTAATAGTTATATTAGATATTTTAATAAATAAATTCATAAATCGTTATTTATTAAAACATCATACAATTGAAATTATTCGAACAATATTACCAATATTAATTTTAATAATCATTGCATTTCCTTCTTTAAAAACATTATATTTCATTGATGAAACATGAAATCCTATTTTTTTTACAATCAAATCTATTGGTCATCGATGATATCGAAGATATGAATACCCTGAATTTAATTATATAAGAATCGAAATTTAAATTTTTAAATTCAGGGTATTCATATCTTCGATATCATCGATGACCAATAGATTTGATTGTAAAAAAAATAGGATTTCATGTTTCATCAATGAAATATAATGTTTTTAAAGAAGGAAATGCTTTAGATAATATAAATATTTTTCGTTTATATAATAATTATTCCATTTTGTATTCCAAGTCGATTATTAACTGCATCTTCGGACAACATAATATTCCAGTTACTTCAGACCTTCCATTTAGAATTCCCTGATGCAAAATACTTTGAAATTGATAATAACGATTCTGAAGTACCATTCATGTTTCATCAATAAAATATAATGTTTTTAAAGAAGGAAATGCTTTAGATAATATAAATATTTTTCGTTTATATAATAATTATTCCATTTTGTATTCCAATTCGATTATTAACTGCATCTTCGGACAACATAATATTCAACATAATAACGTACTTTAGACCTTCCATTTAGAATTCCCTGATGCAAAATACTCTGAAATTGATAATAACGCTTCTGAAGTACCATTATACAGATACGAGCGTGCAAATGCTTCTTTTCCAAGTGAAAGTTTGGCGAAGTTGCTCGTCAAAGGAAAGAAGAGGATCGAGGGAATGTCCTGCAATTGTTTTCAGGCTCCGTTTCCTACGGATTTCTGCGTGTTTCCGACTTATTTCGGACTCTTTCACGCCGAAGACCGGCTGCTAATTCACAAGATCCCTAACCACCGTGCCGTGGATAGTTCCTAAACAATTCGAAGAATCCGAGGAACTTTCGAATGTGTCTGGTGATCGATGAAACGAACCGCCGAGGCTCGCCGGAGGATGCAGCCTCTGACATTCCCTTTCATACCGGAAACTCTGAAAGCCTTGCACCGGGCTTGCGAATTTTTCTCGCGCGACGCTTTGTTTGCGGCGCCCAGCTTGCACATATTTTTAGAATGAGCAGCCATTGATACTCTCGAGACATTGTACAAGGCAGAAATTCTAAGATAAATATCGATCAACATCCTCGCAAGTCTCTGGCTTCAAAGAAAGTCACTAGAAAGAGTCACTAGACTGTGGTCTAATTGAATAATTTCTATCGATACACGAAGCTTTCGTGAATTCGTTAATCCCATATTTTACAGACTAAATTGTAAACTCGATTTTTTTTAAATTGTCATTTATGGAGTTTTTGTTGTTTTTCTTGAAATATTTCTCATCGTGATGTTCGTTAACACGTTGACCGTCACACCAAAACCGTACAATTTTCTACGAGATCAAAACTAAAAATAAAATAAAATATAATAATAAAAATAATTGTAAACTGCATAACTTAACTTAAAATTCGTCTTTGATACTTATTTTCGTAACCACGTTGAGCTTCGTCCTATACAAATTTATTTAACATTTCAATTTCAATTTCAATTTCGGAATGAATTGTTTTAGTTCCATAATGGGAAAGTTTTGTCATCCATATATATGGGTGACGTGGCAGTCAAAGTGTTAACTGAGCTTCGAATGAAAAAGCAGTTTGAAAAAGATCCTGTACGAATAATTGTCGAATAAATTCGAGACAAAGGGGTCCATAAACATGTGAACGTCTTGTTCCCCGTTTTATGCGAGATCAATTTTTAGGTTCACCGAGCGCTAAAGCACGCGGTAAACGCTGGACTCCTACGGCACAGAAGTGGTCGTTACAAGGTGCTATTCACGTTAAATCCAGCGCCGACCGAGCACTCCGTGACAGTCGATAACGACGTAAGAGTACTGGAAGAAACGTCTACCATGGATGGGAAGCAGCCAACTAGAAGGACCAGCTCCGATCGCGCGGAGCAGAACAGGTACGCTATTATCTTTCAACCCCCCTGAACAACCCTAAGCTCCTTCTTCTCTAGAAAAAAAACCATTGAAGGTTTATCGATAAACTGAGGCAAAAACAAATTCTAATTCGCATTTAATGACCTCGTATTTTTAATCGAAACAGACGTATAGGTGCATAAGTGGCCATTTCTCATGAATTAGGATTTTGAATTGAATGTTCGATCTGTAGATTCCAATTGGGCGTAATTCTAATTGGTAACTCTATAATACCAACAGGTTCACTGCCCGTGACACGTATATGGGGCATATCACTAGTGCTATTAGATACACCGCTGAGAAATCGGACAGTGAACGCGTTAACGATTTTCAGAGAAGTAGAGAAAAATCGATGTAAACGTAGAACAACTTGAAAGTAATCTAGAATGGCCATAAATATAGCTCTGTCAAGCTTCACGCGATCCTATCCTTGGCAAATTGGAAACCGAGTCCAATCTTCGTCTGCTAAACAGGCTACACAGAATGGTTTTAGCGTCCTGTTTTTCTCTGTTTAGGATTCTCAATTTGTTTCTCCTTGCTTGGTCGATTTGCTTATCTTCTTTCTTAAATTCTAAATCTTTGTGTAATGAAAGAATATATACGTATATTGTTCTGGAATGAGGGACAATGTTTTGTAAGGTTTTACGTTTAATATATTATTATTTTATATCAAACGTAAAAGTTTTTATTGGGAGATATTTGGTGACAATATTATATAGAATTGGGTGACAAAAGCAGTACACTTTGTAAGTAAAAGTGAAACTTTATTCTGTGGTTTGGAAGAAACCATTGCATGCATTATGTTTATTTCCCTGGCCCTCGACGACTAAACAGACAATGGGCAGTGTTTCTCACTGTTAAATTCAGTTTTGTAATTATTTATTAATAATCCAAGAGATATCGATAATGTCTGTGGCTAGGAGGATTTTCCCTGTGTCGTGTGTGTGTAAATCGATGTGAAATTGATCGAAAATTGGTCCAACACGGTGTGAAGATGACCCGCCATATTGGTTTCCGTTGAGAATCACTGGACCAGAGGTTAATCGCGCCTCAACGCACCGGGAAACTTTCCACGGGATGCGAAACTACGATCCAATTAATATCTCCTGGATAATACAGTTACGCGAGTTTCCGTCCTCCTAAAACGACGTTAAGGACAGACGTTGAGGCCGATGTTACGGTAGCTGTCCGAGTACTTGGCAAAAAGTGGCCCCGTGACTCTCGAATGCCTCGAGTAAGCTCGATTAATCGACCAGCCTCCGATAAATCGAACTGCTCGAACGATCGATAATCATTTACAACCGTTCAAAAGTAGAAAATATTATAACTATCGACGTTAGCATATTCAGGAATCTCTCCTCTATCTTTTAAGATCAAGTGGAACTGTCTGATGTTTCTAATTTTCGCGTAATACCTCGTTTTTACCCAAAATTGAACGTTCTCACAAAAACTCGTGTTTCTCGAAAACTGAGAGCGATACAGAAATTCCGTTTCCAGATTTGTGTTTAGGGTATGAAGTGGATATTACCTAGTGGATATTGAAAAACAGAAAACAAAATTTAATTTGTAGAACAATGTAATCGAGGTATATATTACGATCACTCGATTTGTAATTCGCTATTCTTCGAATTGTGAAACTCCAGGAATTCGTAACTTTTGAAACTATAATAACATAAACATTGTGAAATATTTTAAACAGTGATTTAAATGAGTATTTTAATTTTTTTAACTATATTCCACTGCTTCGAAAAATATGAAAAAATTACAGACTAGTCAACGTAACGTGACGTAAAATTGGCATTTTTTAATCTTTTTAATTATTCAAAATTTCGTTTAACAACCAGAAATTCTGGAAAAATTCATGTCCACGATTTTGTTTGTAATTTTAAATGGAAATGAATCTTAAACTGTAAATTGCCTTGTAACTAGCTTGATATTAGGGTCAGGGGGATAAAATTCGGCAGAAAATAAGCTATTTAGAACGGAAAATTCATTATTTCGGAGCTTCTCATGAAAAGCTGACGTTATTATTTTTTTTAAAGCAATATTTCTTTTATTTTTATCGTTCTTGATCGGTTCGTTCGATCGAACGAACGGAATTAATTTTCTTTCTTTCATTTCTCTTTCCGCGATAAAACGACGACGAAGCTTTCGAGAAATCGACGATAAACGGGGTGTAGCTTTCCGTTAAAATCACTTCCAATAGCTATATTATTATGACGAATCAGTTATTTAACTGCTTTGCGCCCCCCCTGAAGATACAGTTTCGCGAGTAGTTGGCAAACATTTTACGCCGCAGCTCTCTGGCTCCGCGAGTAATACTGGAGCAATTATACTTCACCGAATTGGTCGTAACGTTTGTGCAAAACTCAGCGTGTTTGTAGTACACTTAAAAAAAGCTTACAATTTTGCAATCGACTGCCGATATTTCTGCCCCCCCTGCAATTTTTCACACACAGATCGTCAATCCTATCGATCGATTTCGCATGGTTCCTCGAAATCCATTCTTTTACGTTCTCCTGAAATTTTTATAGCAAAGTATGTATTTTAAAATTCCACAAAGAGTCCATTGACTTTGATAAATTTTAAATAAAAACACACACAGGATGGTAAATTTATTCATTTAACACGTTGAATGCCACACCAAAACCGTACAATTTTCTACGAGATCAAAACTTCGATTTTAAATAATTGTAAACTAAATAACTTAAAATATGTCTTCGGTACTTATTTTCGTAACCACGTTAAACTTCGTCCTATACAAATTTATTTAACATTTCAATTTCAATTTCAGAATGAATTGTTTTAGTTCCATAGTGGGAAAGTCTTGTCACCCATATATGGGTCACGTGGCAGCCAAAGTGTTAATGTCAGAAAGATTATGTACTCCACAATTGCATACGATTCTATTGGCTTTGGTAAATTTTAAATAAAAATACAGAGGATGGTAAATTTATTTATTTAATGTCAGAAAGATTATGTATGTACTCTACACCTGCATACGATTCTATTGACTTTGATAAATTTAAAAAAAAAACAAACAGGATGGGGTAAATTTATTTATTTAATGTCAAGATCGCGAGGGGAACAAAGATGTCGTTTTTTCCAAAAATTGTGTTCGAATTGAGGTGAAGTTGATTCAACGTTTTAGGAATTGCAATCGAATTGCAGATAATAATTCTTTTGCTGGGGGATGTCTGCGTAATTGTATTGTATTATGGCGTTACAGAGGTAAACGCAAGAGACAGCATCGCGATAAGAAGCGTAAACGAAGCCGTAGTCGTCAGAAGAAACGTAGACGCCGGAGTGGATCCAGAAAGGACGACGACAGACCGATGGAGCACATGGGGAGGGCACGAAATCCGAGGTACAAAGAAAAAGTCGAGAGGGATCGGTCACCGCGGCGCAGGATAAAAGCCGATATCGGGAACGCGTCGTTGTCGTCGTCCAATCGTAAAAGGGACAAGGTGAAGTCGAGAGATCAGGAATACTATTCCGATCTATCGGATAACAGCGACTACGAGGATGGACAGTCCAGAGGTAAGGAACACGAGTTCTCGGACCAAGGTCTGGGTTAAATCGATTTGTTTATCATTTTTATCCCCCACCACCGTCTCTTTTAACCCTTTTAGTAGCGAACGACGATATATCGTTGCGTATGCGATTGGTCCCTTATTCTTCGCATTGGGAGAAAGCTCTGTCTCAAAACAAAATTTATAAAACATTATAGAGGGTCTAATTTTATTGCAGAAGCATTTAAAAAATTATTTTTGGGTTTAACCCTTTGCAACTCGATGCTACTTTGTGGCGGAAACGTATGCATTTTGGGAGTCGTCATATTATACAGGGTGTTCGGCCAAACCAGGGAAAAATTTTAATAGGAGACTCTAGAGGCCAAAATAATACGAAAATTAAGAATATCAGTTTCTCGACTGAGGCCTCGTTAAAAAGTTATTAACAATTAAATTAAAAAATTTCTAACCGTTCTGGAAAAATTATGTTCGGTTGCGGGGGTCAATTACAATCATTTTTTATCATTACACATACCCCTGAAATTCTACGCATTTTCGAGAAAAAAATTCGAGAAGGTACTTTTTTACATGAAATTAAAATATTTAAAATCACACTAAAAAAATTATGATTAGTTACAGGGGTAAATTACAATCATTTTTTATCATTACACATATCCCCGAAATCTTACGCACTTTCGAGAAAAAAATTCGAGAAGGTACTGAAATTTTTAGATGAAATTAAAATATGTAAATTCACGCTAAAAAAATTATGATTAGTTACAGGGGTAAATTGCAATCATTTTTTATCATTACACGTACCCCCGAAATCTTACGCACTTTCGAGAAAAAAATTCGAGAAGGTACTGAAATTTTTAGATGAAATTAAAATATGTAAATTCACGCTAAAAAAATTATGATTAATTACAGGGGTAAATTACAATCATTTTTTATCATTACACGTACCCCCGAAATCCTACGCATTTTCGAGAAAAAAATTCCTTAGCGAAAATATAATCCAATGGTTCCCCGAAATTACATTCGAATCTTTGAAACATCATAACTCCTCAACGGGTTGGACGATTTTAATGTTCAAAAAGGCAAACTACGCGTATTTTGATGGAGAATACGTGGAAATTCCAAAAATATTCAAAAAGTTGTTCCTTGACCACGTAAAGTGAGAAAACCCCCATAAAAATGGTCCAATTTTCAAACGGCCATAACTCCTACAATAGTGAATACACTTCAATGAAATTTTGTTCTGATATAGTGCTCATAAGTACCTACAAAAAAGTATTGGAGAACTTTTCTGTAGGACGTTAAACAATACTATTAAAAATGAAAAACGAATTATTAAGAAAAATCGACAGCCCAAATCTTTCGGCAAAATTGAAAAGTTTCAAATCACTCTGAAAAAATTATTTTCACTTGCAGGGGTCAATTGCAATAATTTTTGGTCAATAGTCATACCCCCGAAATCCTACCCACTTTCCAGAAAAAAATTCAAATAGATGCCCAAAACTTTTGGCAAAATTGAAAAGTTTCAAATCACTCTGAAAAAATTATTTTCACTTGCAGGGGTCAATTGCAATAATTTTTGGTCAATAGACATACTGTTCAAATGAACCATCACATAATTCGAAAATGGGGGTGGAAATGTAATGAATTGTTTGCAGCGAGGAGAAAAACGCCGGCTCGACAGGAATGCAAATGCAACGAAAACGGAAAATCGAGCAGAAGATCCGTTTCGCGGAATCGTAGCCCGCAGAGGCAGCAATCGCAACAATTGCAGCCGAAACACTCGCGAGACGACGTGAAGAACAGTAAAACGGACCCAGACGATCGCAGAAACGTCGATCGCGTGGATCCAACCGATCAGAACGCAGAAAAAGATGACGAGCCCAACAAAAGCGGAAGTGGCAGCACTTTGTAAAATCGTCCATTTTGTAACGTTTCTAACAATTTCTGGAACAGTATTTGATTTTTAGTTTTGCTCGTAAAAAATTTTCGAATACACTGTACTCGCCGAAAATAAATTCGATTTATAATAATTTCCGGAACAGTATTTTATTTTTAGTATTGCTAGTTAAAAATCTTCGAATACACTGTACGCGCCGAAAATAAAATTGATTTATAATAATTTCTGGAACAGTATTTTATTTTTAGTTTTGCTAGTTAAAAATTTTCAAATACACTGTACGCGCCGAAAATAAAATCGATTTATAATAATTTCTGGAACAGTATTTTATTTTTAGTTTTGCTAGTTAAAAATTTTCGAATACACTGTACGCGCCAAAAATAAATTCGATTTATAATAATTTCTGGAACAGAATTTTATTTTTAGTTTCGCTCGTAAAAAATTTTCGAATGCACTGTACGCGTTGAAAATAAAATTGATTTATAATAATTTCTGGAACAATATTTTTAGGAAATTCGTTTGTCTTTGTTAATAATTTAATCGGGATCAATTAAGAATTTCAACATACCGATTAAGGATTTCAAAATGTAACGTGGACGCTGTTTGAAAAATCGATGCAACGCTTGACCGTCGCGTTGATTGAATTCCAATATTCACCGATAATTTAATTTCCGTGTAAATAGCCGACGTATGGTCGAGGATTCGCAGTTTGAATCTCGCGTTGATGAAATTTGCAGTCGAAGAGTACAGAGAAGTGCGTAAACTATATTTCTACGGGTCGAAAAATTTTGTTTCTATCCCAAGGCCTTTGTCTAATTCGATGGTTTGATCCGAGTAGCGTCACTCGAGCCGGAAAATGCTTAAATATAGGTCGCCAAGCGTTTTTCGACACGCGAAAGAGTCAGTTAGATTCAAGTGGTCAATCAATAATGATATACAGTCGGTCGCAAAAATATTGGAACACCGGTGCAATTTAAAAAATAAAAAAGAAAACAGATTTTCCACGTACAAGAAAAACTGATTCTTCGATTCGTTTACCAACGAGAAATCATCAGCCTTGAATTTTAAACGAATATTACAAGCTAACGATGCTTGAATGCTTTCATTTTCAACTGTGTTTAACACGTTGCCAATCTAAAATTCTAAACTTGTTTACGAGACGAAAATTTTGGTTTTAGACAATTGCAAACTGTGTAACTTAAAACTTGTCGTACTTACTTTCGTAACTTCATTAAAATTTACAAAACCTATTCGAATTTATTGTCCTTGACATTTCAACTTGTTTAAGACTTGTTTGACGTGGCAGTCAAAGTGTTAAATTTAATGCACGTATCGTTTATTGTTAAAAAACAATTTCCTGATAGAGGGGACCAAAATGGATGTTACTGGGTGATCCAGACCATCGGTGAAACGACATTTCGTGTGCATCGACCTAATACAATAAGCGGCAATCAGTGAGAAATTGGATACACATTCGTAAGCCTTCGATAAACTGGCTAAAAATCGTTCCGCGATCGATCTGCCCGGATCCTCGCCGAGTCGAGAAGTAATTTGCGATTACATCATTTAAGCATGAATTCCTCGACCTATTTTACAAGCAATCTAACGAGAGAATTATGATTTTCATGCCGACTTGCACGTCACTTTTCGTGCGTTCCGCAGATCGATGAAAACAGTTAATCTGTACATGCAATATGACTTCCATCGAACCGACAAAAAATGTAAAAATCAGCAAAACATTAATACTTTTGCTGTAATTAGAATTCTATGAACCGACGAGTCCAAATTTCAAGCATATTGCTGTAATTTAACGAACGAAATGGTGAATTTCGAATTCCTAGTACTAACTTGTAAAGCATAGAGGACTATTTACAACGATCAGTGATAACTCTTTGCATTTTAATGGCGTCGCTAATTATCGAGACTTTCCTTTCGAAATTCTACAATTGTATTTTTCATATTAAGGGGCCTTTCTACTTTGTGGGATTAAAAAAAATCGAATTGTTTTTGCATTGTCTTTGAGTAGGTAGTCTCGACAATATATCTACCAAATATTAAATTGAAATTTGAAAAACTAACGAAGTTATAGCCTGTTGAAATGTACCACGCGTAGGTATAACAATTGCACGTGAAACTTTAAGTTGCCTTTCTACGTTGTGGGATTAAAAAAAATTGAATTTTCTTTGCATTGTCTTTTAGTAGGTAGTCTCGACAATATATCTACCAAATATTAAATTGAAATTCGGAAAACTGACGAAGTTATAGCCTGTTGAAATGTACCACGCGCAGGTATAACAATTGGACGTGAAACTTTAAGTTGCCTTTCTATTTTGTGGGATTAAAAAAGTCGAATTTTTTTTGCATTGTCTTTTAGTAGGCAGTCTCGACAATATATCTACCAAATATTAAATTGAAATTCGGAAAACTGACGAAGTTATAGCCTGTTGAAATGTACCACGCGTAGGTATAACAATTGGACGTGAAACTTTAAAGCTGTTTTTCTCGAAAAACTATTCAAGATATCAAGAGGAAATTTATACAGTATCTTTAGAACTAGTTTTCCTATAGCATGAAGTAGGATAATTGCGAAATCTGCATTACTTTTTCTTTTATTAACAAAAACAGTATTTTTTCATAAAATAGCTGCCATTTTGCCATTTTTTGTTCTTTTGAAAAAATCCTGGTTCGTGCTATAATCACACTCATCTATATTAAGAATATCGTTGGTTTTTGGATTTCGGATAACTTGTTCGCAAGATATCACATACGCAGTCATGGGGCCGTTCCTAAAAACTGTTGTTTGTTGATCAATAAAAACAACGTAATCGATAGATATTATGCGTTGCAAAAATTCATAAATATAGCTAAATATATAATAAATGTATCTACAAAACACGGAATTAATCGCTCTTTAATAGCCCACAAAAAAAAATCACAAAGAAACATGTATTTTTCGTGCCTACAAAGTAGAATGGACTCTTTGGGTTGGGTTAGGTCTGGGTTAGATCTGGATTAGGTCTGTATTAGGTCTGGGTTAGGTCTGGATTAGGTATAGATTAGGTCTGAGTTAGGTCTGTATTAGGTATAGATTAGGTCTGTATTAGGTCTGTATTAGGTCTGAGTTAGGTCTGGATTAGGTATAGATTAGGTCTGAGTTAGGTCTGTATTAGGTCTGAGTTAGGTCTGGATTAGGTATAGATTAGGTCTGAGTTAGGTCTGTATTAGGTCTGTATTAGGTCTGGGTTAGGTCTGGATTAGGTCTAGATTAGGTCTGAGTTAGGTCTGAATTAAATCTGGGTTAGTTGATCATCGATTCACTTCCCACAGGTAGTCTATAGTTTTTCTACGAGTATAAAAAAACAATTCAATAAGATATCGTAATATCGTGTCTCGTCGTATAGCAGAAGCATCTGTGAAATAATCTTCGTTGCAATCGTTTGAACTATAATATACTATTCCTGTGCAATTTAAATACCTTTCCGTTCGTTTCAGTGTTTTCGGGGGTGAAAGGAACAGCGTCGACGCTAGGGAAAAGTGTTCTTATTGCCGCGTTCTAATTTTTTAGAGGAACACGCTTTCTTTAACCCGTTAACGTATTAGGAAATGTCATTTTATCAGGGACCAGTGCACGAAAGCTTCGCGTTTGCTATAGCGGGGAACGCCATTGGCTAAGCCCATAAACGGCAGAAAGGCTTTGGTCGTGCGAGTACGTTGAAAAATATTTTGCTCGGAGGCGTGTACGGTGACACGAGTTAGAAAAATCCTGGTAAAAGATGGGTCTCGGCCAGGATAAGGTCCTTTTCTTCTAACGGGAAGTGCACGCGGCGCGCTGTAAGAGCTTCCTTGTTCCATTCGTCCTATCTGTGAAATATTACTCGGCTCCTTTGCCCGGATCCACGGAGCCACTTTTCACCGATCGCGTCGTAAAGTTCACCCCCCCCCCGAATAGTTCATCAGTTCTCCATCGTGCTCCCCTCGAACCTATCGCAACACGAGAACACGCGTATCTGTTTCCAACTTGATTTTTCTCCACTGAATTCGTCGTCGTTTTTTAATCTCAACCGAATTATTTTACTTAACGTTGATTTTTATCAAATTGATAAATGGAAATCAAATTTAAAGCATTTATAAAATACGTTTTTTAATCCTTAAGCGGACTTTCAATCTCAACCGAATTATTTTACTTAACGTATGGAGGCTTCGTTAAAAAGTTATTAACAATTAAATTCAAAAATTTCAAATCGTTCTAAAAAAATTATTTTCAATTGTGGGGGTCAAATACAATCACTTTTGGTCCTTACACGTACCCCCAAAATCCTACACACTTTTTAGATAAAAATTCGAGAATATGTGAAATTTTTTGACGAAAAAAAAAACTTTCAAATCGTTCTAAAAAAATTATTTTCAATTGTGGGGGTCAAATACAATCACTTTTGGTCATTACACATACCACCGAAATCCTACACACTTTCTAGATAAAAATTCGAGAATATGTGAAATTTTTTGACGGAAAAAAAAAATTTCAAATAGTTTTGGAAAAATTATTTTCGGTTGCGGGGGTCGATCACAATCATTTTTGGTCATCACACATACCATCGAAATCCTACGCACTTTCGAGAAAAAAATTCTTTACCGAAAATCTAATTAGGTGCCTAAATTCGACGGAAAAAAAATTTCAAATCCTTTCGGAATAATTATTTTCGGTTGCGGGGGTCAATTACAATCATTTTTGGTCATTACACATACCACTAAAATCCTGCGCATTTTTGAGAAAAAAATTCAGTACTGGCAGAACTTTAAATGTTAATAACTTTTTAACGAAGGCTCAATGAAGAAATTGATATTCTTAACTTTCGTCTTATTTTGGCCTCTAAAATCCCCCATTAAAAAGTTTCTGAACTCTTCCACCATGTTCTATAAATCATAATCATTATTATATTCGAACGCCGTAAATATCGAAAAGGCTAATTCGAACGAGAAATATGAGCGCTAATTTCGCGTAATTATGAATCGAC